TTTTTTTTTTTTTTAATGCTGGGTTCTGTTCTGATGCTGTTTCTTGGCAGCACTTTTAGGGGTTTTCATCTGAACTATGTCAAATTTCATATTCATAAACCACCCTGGGGCGTGATTTCCATCTGACTTCTTACAGGACATTTCATCTTACTTCCAGTCCCGTGAGGTTAGCTGCCAGCAAGCCCCCTCCTCATTTAGCCTGATGGGCCCCGGACAAGGGGGTGGGGTTGTGACCCAATAAGAATGGTGAATGTCACACTCATAGAGAAATAAAACCAGCATATACTCTGGTTCAGAAATGCTCACTATGAAAAGCTAGGGTGAGGCTTAGAATATGTATTTTAAAAGGCTTCTCAGGTAATTTACATGTCCACTCTTGTAAAGACCAGAGGATTACAGTTTTATACAATCAATACTAAATGACAGCTACTTCTTGGGAAAAGTACAAACTCTTCATATCATGACAAAATACAGTGCTGTCAAATGTAGCATTAATTCTTGGAACTAGTAAAACTTAACTTTTCTTTACTTGTTCTATCAGAGAAGTATTGTGACCAGGAACATCTAAATAGGAAATGCTATTCTTGTTGGATTGTGCCCATCTTTGCATAAAATGTTCCCTTGGTATCCTAAATTTTCTTGAAGAGATCTCTAGTCTTTCCCATTGTACTGTTTTCCTCTATTTCTTTGCACTGATTGCCGAGGAAGGTTTTCTTATTTCTTTTTGCTATTCTTTGTAACTCTGTATTCCAGTGGGTATATCCTTTTCTCCTTAGCCTTTTGCTTCTATTCTTTTCAAAGCTATTTGTAAGGCCTCCTCAGACAACCATTTTGCCTTTTTGTACTTCTCTTTCTTGGAGATGGTCTTGATCCCTGCCTCCTGTACAATGTCACGAACCTCTGTCCATAGTTCTTCAGGCACTCTATCAGATCTAATCTCTTAAATCTATTTCTCACTTCCACTGTATAATCATAAGGGATTTGATTTAGGTCATACCTGAATGGCCTAGTGGTTTTCCTTACTTTCTTCAATTTAAGTCTGAATTTGGCAATAAGGAGTTCATGATCAGAGCTACAGTCTGCTCCTGGTCTTGTTTTTGCTGACTGTACAGAGCTTCTCCATCTTTGGCTGCAAAGAATATAATCAATCTGATTTTGGTATTGATCATCTGGTGATGTCCAGGTGTAGAGTCTTCTCTTGTGCTGTTGGAAGAGGGTGTTTGCTATGGCCAGTGCGTTCTCTTGGCAAAACTCTATTAGCCTTTGCCCTGCTCCATTCTGTACTCAAGCCCAAATTTGCCTGTTACTCCAGGTATTTCTTGACTTCCTACTTTAGTATTCCAGTCCCCTATAATGAAAAGGACTTCATTTTGGGGTGTTAGCTCTAGGTCTTGTAGGTCTTCGTAGAACCATTCAACTTCAGCTTCTTCAGCATTACTGATCGGACATTGTCTTCAAGAAAATTAGAGATTCCAAGGGAGCTTTTCATGCAAAGATGGGCACAATAAAGGACAGAAATGGTATGGACCTGACAGAAGCAAAAGATAGTAAGAAGAGGTGGCAAGAATACACAGAAGAACTGTACAAAAAAGATTTTCACGACTCAGATAATCATGATGGTATGATCACTGACCTAGTGCCAGACATCCTGGAATGTGAAATCAAGTGGGCCTTAGGAAGCATCACTATGAACAAAGCTAGTGGAGGTGATGGAATTCCAGTTGAGCTATTTCAAATCCTAAAAGATGATGCTGTAAAAGTGTTTCACTCAATATGCCAGCAAATTTGGAAAACTCAGCAGAGGCCACAGGACTAGAAAAGGTAAGTTTTCATTCCAATCCCAAGTGAAAAGCAATGCCAAAGAATGCTCCAACTACCACACAGCTGCACTCATCTTACACGTTAGCAAACTAATGCTCAAAATTCTCCAAGCCAGTCTTCAACAATACATGCACCATGAACTCCAGATGTTCAAGCTGGATTTAGACAAGGCAGAGGAACCAGAGATCAAATTGCCAATATCGGCTGGATCATCAAAAAAGCAAGAGAATACCAGAAAAATATCTACTTCTGCTTCATTGACTATGCCAAAGCCTTTGACTGTGTGTATCACAACAAACTATGGAAAATTCTTAAAGAGATGGGAATACCAGATCGCCTTGACCTTCTTCCTGAGAAATCTGTATGCAGGTCAAGAAGCAACAATTAGAACAGGACATGGAACAACAGACTGGTTCCAAATTGGGAAAGGAGTATGTCAAGGCTGTACATTGTCACCCTGCTTATTTAACCTATATGCAGAGTACATCATGTGAAATGCCAGGCTGCATGAAGCACAAGCTGCAGTCAAGATTGCTGGGAAAAATATCAATAACCTGAGATATGCAGATGATACCACCCTTATGGCAAAAAGTGAAAAAGAACTAAAAAGACTCTTGATAAAAAAAGTTGGTTTAAAACTCAACATTCATAAAACTAAGATCATGGCATCTGGTCCCATCACTTCATGGCAAATAGATGGGGAAACAATGCAAACAGTGACAGGCTTTATCTTCTTGGGCTCCAAAATCACTGCAGATGGTGACCACAGCCATGATATTAAAAGATGCTTGCTCCTTGGAATAAAAGTTATGACCAACCTAGACAGCGTATTAAAAAGCAGAGGCATTATTTTGCCAACAAATGTCCATCTAGTCAAAGCTATGGTTTTTCCAGTAGTTATGTATGGATGTGAGAGGCAGACTGTAAAGAAAGTTGAGTGATGAATTGATGCTTTTGAACTGTGGTGTTGAAGATTCTTGAGAGTCCCTCGGACTGCAAGGAGATCCAACCAGTCCATCCTAAAGGAAATCAGTCCTGAATATTCGTTGGAAGGACTGATGCTGAAGCTGAAACTCCAATACTTTGGCCACCTGATGCAAAGAACTGACTCATCTGAAAAGACCCTCTTGCTGGGAAAAATTAAAGGCAGAAGGAGAAGGGGATGACAGAGGATGAGATGGTTGGATGGCATCACTGACTCAATGGACATGAGTCTGAGTTAACTCTGGAAGTTGGTGATGGACAGGGAGGCCTGGCATGCTGCAGTCCATGGGATCGCAAAGAGTCAGACATGACTGAGTGACTGAACTGAAGCCAACTGATTCTTGTTGGAGGAGGTACTCTGATGTGTAAGGAGAGTTGGAACTTGCTCTTTACCTTCCTCCATTTTCTGTCAACTAAATAGGTTTTAAGAATCACATAACTTACTACACTTTATTTTTTATAATTTAGTTACCTTTCATTGACACCATAAATGCTGTAGATTGAAATGAATTGAAGTGTTTTTTAAGTAAATAAAAACTTGAGAAATAGAAATATTCTACAGATTTTGTTAACAGAATACATGCAAGTCAAACTGAGACTCTAATCATACAGAACCATGATCCTCAATCTTAGGGTGGGGGAGAAGAAGAATAGAAACTTCATCTTTCTTGGGCCTACTTCATCTTGGACTTGATTCTTCTGATTTCACATTTTCAAAACCAAAATGACATAGCCAGACAATGTCAAGAATAAAAAACAAGAAAATGGAGACTTTATTTGGCCTTTCTTATTACACGTCTTGCCCTCAGACCTCATGTTTTTTAAAAAATTCTTTTATACTGCAGACCAGATTAAAGGCAGATGGTCCCACAACTCACATCTGATATTCAGATTTCTTCTACTCCTTGAATATGTTTACTTTTAATGGATGTGAGAAGTCTTGGAAATGTGCCTCTGCCCATATGAAAAGACACAGAGGCGGGGTTGAAGTGTTTTACTCTTCACAATAAGCCCATAATCAGATCTCTCTGTCATGGGAACAGTTCTGTGCCCCAGATAAAGCTACACATGGCTGCCATCACTTATGCAGAAACATTCTCTTGAAGTAATTGCTCAGTTCACAATGGCAACCCACTCCAGTATTCTGGAGAATTCCATGGACACAGGAGCCTGGCAGGCTACAGTCCACAGGGTCACAAAGAGTCGGACACTACAGAGCAATTATCACTCACTCACTCACCCGCAAGAGAGATGTAAATTATGAGATTTTATTTCCTGTCAATGTATCATGAGCTCTACTATCTCAACAGAAAGCTCTCAAAATCTCGGAAAAAAGGGACCTTTACTTCTTCATTGGGGAGGAGGATGAGGTAAGCTTTGAGAAGACTCCCTAGAGAAGGTGGAATACTCATTCCTTTGAGACAAGCTGAGGGAGGAATAGTCAAGAAATGAACCTGTTCCTACCTCATGACCTGGATAACTATAATCCGGCACATCAGTTGTATTTTGCTTTAGTAAGAATAATAATTTTTTTATAATAACATTTCAGAATGAATTTTCAACATCTTCCCATCCCCAATTATGAAACTATATGATGAAAATCTTAGATGTTCCTTTATGCCAGTTTGTAGTGACCAGAGATTCTTTTATCATTTAATTTTCCATTCATCTTGCCATTCCTTATTTGAAAAAGCGAAAACTTTGAAGAATTCAAAATATGATGGAGTTTACTGGACACTGAGAAAAAATTTGTAAATGAAGTAAAAATCATGAATAGGCAAACCAAAACAAGAACTTTTGATAAATTCCACAAAATTGAAAAGTCATTTTGTTATGTGTGTGTGTCTGTGTGTGTGTGTATATATATATATATATATAATGTGTACATTACATATATGTACACACACACAGACACACACACATACATACATATGCATGCAACATATATCTAAAATGAAACTATCATATACGAAGGAGGGCAGGTACCATGCCTTATATATATATATCTCCTTCATATAATCTGTGCTGAACACATAGTAGGTGCTCAAAAACTTAACAGAATTTAAGATTACTTGGCAAATAAGGTAGCTACTTTATATTAATCCTTAAATACATGTTAGAAACATAAAAACACGAAATTTGGTTTATTCTATTAGTTTAAAATGAAAACATTCACATTAGTATAATGATATTACCTGTAAGGGTAGCCGTGGTACTTGGAACGAAATATTGAAAGTAAAAAGCTGAAGAAAAAGACCACCAGTCCTAATCCCACGAGACAAATAACTAGAAAGAAACAGAAACCTCCATCAGTCTAGACACACACGACTCAAATGTGTATATTTTTAAAAAACATTCAGTTAATTACACATACTTACATGTAACAGCTCATGGTACATACAGGTACCACAAACCAGATAATCATTATTTTCCACATTCTTCTCAATGACAATTTACTACTTGGAATATGAAAACAAAACAAAAAAAGAAGTGACTGATCTAAGTTTTTGGGTGGTATTCTTCTCTTACCGAATACCTACAAGTACTAAAATGCCCCCAGAAGGACCAAAACAAAACACAAGAAAATGTGATAAACCACAAACGAGATTATCAGCCCCTGCACTGTGAAGTACTGCCTATATTAGCAGAGACATCTACAGTATTGGAATCTGCAATGTAATTTTTATTTTCAGATGCCATGCAATAGTTACAAAGAAATGTAATTTTATATGATTGGCTAGATTATTGCTTCAGTAAATGCCTGTTACTTACAAGTGATAGTTCATCCCAGCATACCAAAAGCCAGTAACACAGGCTTGGGGTGTGAGAAAATACAGACTCTGTGATAGTCAAAGAGGGAAAACCAACCCTAAATAGCTGGTGATAGTGTCAAGGTATTACTGTTTGTTTTAGAAAGGAACAAGTGGTGTGTGTTACAGCAGGATATGCCAGGCTGTGATTTAGGTTTCCAGCATCACTGTATCCCTCTCAAGTTGACAACAGGAACATTTCTTTTCCTTTCTGTTATGGTTACGAAGATTTTACTCTAAAGTGGATGACTAATCAAATATATATTATGAAATATATGCAAATATATCTACTAGATTTTTAATTAAATTTGCTACTAGTAAAGTAAATCTTAAATGCTTAAAAATCTGAGCCAATTAAATGCAGGTATGTTTAGAATAAAAGAAAATATATTTTTAGAGAAATGGAAATTTACCTAAATCTGCTCTGTAAATAAGTTCTTTTAATAAGAAATACTTAAATATTTTTTAAGAATAAAACATATGCATGATACTTGTATGCTTTCATTAGTTTTATGGAATTCTTTAAAAACACTAGACTATCTAATATGATTAATTATAAAAGAAAGGGGAAGATAAGAGATTAAACACGTCAAGACAGAAGAAAACAAGAGCGATTAAATAATTCTATATGCTTCTATAGTGATGAACTATAATTTTTAAATTATTCTAGCATATAAATTAGACCAGATTTAATTACAATCCTGGAAATCAGTGGAGACTTTTAGGACGTTGTCAAAACATGATCCAGAAGCCGGTTAGTCAGTTTTCCTTCAACTCTGTAGGAATATCACTCTCTCAGTTTTGAGAACAAATTGTGAAAAATCCTAAGTACTTAATAGCATTCAGTTGCAGCCTCTGTTACATTTCATATCATATAACACACATGCAGGTGAATTTCAAATGAATTTTGGCAGAAAATAAAGCAAAAATAAATAAATAAAAGCTGCTAAATACTGCAAAAATGAAAACCATCTTCCCCCCGCCGAAACTATAGAATGCCCAAATAGACAGACACCAGCCACCTGACTTAGCAACTTTGCTTACAATAATCTTAGTGCACCTAGAATGAATGACATGATGCTTTGCTTTGCATCTGCCTACATGTGGCATGACCACACACTTCTTCCTTTCCTCAGTCTTTTTCCAGGAGCTGAGTAAAACACTTAATCACTCTCTTTGCTGTTCACAGTATGAAAAGGCAAAAAGATAGGAAACTAAAAGATGAACACCCCAGGTCGGTAAGTAGCTAATATGCTACTGGAGATCAGTGGAGAAATAACTCCAGAAAGAATGAAGAGATGGAGACAAAGCAAAAACAACACCCAGTTGCGGATGTGACTGGTGATGAAAGTCAAGTCTGATGTAAAGAGCAATATTGCATAGGAATCTGGAATATTAGGTCCATGAATCAAGGCAAATTGGAAGTGGTCAAACAGGAGATGGCAAGGGTGAACCTCAACATTTTAGGAATCCATGAACTAAAATGGACTGGAATGGGCGAATTTAACTCAGATGACCATTATATCTACTACTGTGGACAAGAATCCCTTAGAAGAAATGGAGTAGCCCACAAAGTCAACAAAAGAGCCTGAAATGCAATACTTGGATGAAATCTCAAAAACGACATGACAGGATGATCTCTGTTTCCAAGGCAAACCATTCAATAACACAGTAATCCAAGTATATGCCCCGACCAGTAATGCTGAAGAAGCTGAAGTTGAATGGTTCTATGAAGACCTGCAAGACCTTCTAGAGCTAACACCCCAAAATGAAGTCCTTTTCATTATAGGGGACTGGAATGCTAAAGTAGGAAGTCAAGAAACACCTGGAGTAACAGGCAAATTTGGGCTTGAGTACAGAATGGAGCAGGGCAAAGGCTAATAGAGTTTTGCCAAGAGAACGCACTGGTCATAGCAAACACCCTCTTCCAACAGCACAAGAGAAGACTCTACACCTGGACATCACCAGATGATCAATACCAAAATCAGATTGATTATATTCTTTGCAGCCAAAGATGGAGAAGCTCTGTACAGTCAGCAAAAACAAGACCAGGAGCAGACTGTAGCTCCGATCATGAACTCCTTATTGCCAAATTCAGACTTAAATTGAAGAAAGTAAGGAAAACCACTAGGCCATTCAGGTATGACCTAAATCAAATCCCTTACGATTATACAGTGGAAGTGAGAAATAGATTTAAGAGATTAGATCTGATAGAGTGCCTGAAGAACTATGGACAGAGGTTCGTGACATTGTACAGGAGGCAGGGATCAAGACCACCACCGAGAAAAAGAAATGCAAAAAGGCAAAATGGTTGTCTGAGGAGGCTTTACAAATAGCTGAGAGAAGGAGAGAGGCTAAAGACAAAGGAAAAAAGGAAAGCTATACCCATCTGAATGCAGAGTTCCAAAGAATAGCAAGAAGAGGTAAGAAAACCTTCCTCAGTGATCAGTGGAAAAAATAGAGGAAAACAATAGAATGGGAAAGTCCAGAGATCTCTTCAAGAAAATAAGAGATACCAATGGAACATGTCATGCAGAGATGGGCAAAATAAAGGACAGAAATGGTATGGACCTAACAGAAGCAGAAAATATTAAGAACAGGTGGCAAGACTACACAGAACAACTATACCAAAAAGATCATGACCCAGATAACCATGATGGTGACTATAGCCATGAAATTGAAAGATGCTTGTTCCTTGGAAGAAAAGCTATGACCAATCTAGACAACATATTAAAAAGCAGAGACATTACTTTGCCAACAAATGTCCATCTACTCAAGGCTATGGTTTTTCCAGTAGTCATGTATGGATGTGAGAGTTCGACTGTAAAGAAAAGCTGAGTGCCGAAGAGTTGATGCTTTTGAACTGTGCTATTGGAGAAGATTCTTGAGAGTCCCTTGGACTGAAAGGAGATCCAACCAGTCCATCCTAAAGGAAATCAGTCCTGAATATTCATTGGAAGGACTGCTGCTGAAGCTGAAACTCCAATACTTTGGCCACCTGATGCAAAGAATCAACTCATTGGAAAAGACCTTGATGCTGGGAGGGATTGAAGGCAGGAGGAGAAGGGGACAACAGAGGATTAGATGGTTGGATGGCAACACTGATTCGATGGACATGAGTCTGAGTAAACTCCAGGAGTTGGTGATGGACAGGGAGGCCTGGCATGCTGCAGTCCATGGGGTCGCAAAGAGTCAGACAGGACTGAGCGACTGAACTGAACTGAACACTTGATATGCACCATGGGGAATGTGTCTCAAAATGTGATCAAGTGAAACAGAGGCTATTTCCTTGATTCTGTGTGGTGGAGCAAAGTAACGGAGCTGAGGTACAGGCACATGGGGAAGGAAGAGGACTTGGGGAGGAGTCAGTGGTGACCCAACAAACCATTTACTGCAGCCGGTCCCAGATAACACACTTGTGAGGACAAAGTGTTATGAGGGCACAGACACATTCTGACCTGGGCAACAGTAATCACAGCACTCGCATTATATCCAAAATAAAAATCACACTGGAATCAGAAGGGCTAATTTCAAAATATATCTCCCATCCCCCACTCCTCTCCCCCACACGCACTCACTTGTGCTCTCTCACACACACACACACACACACAAATAAAGTGCAGTGGGTGGGGGCTGAAGTGATGTTGTATGTATATTACACACCATCTTACTACTTTAATGTGAATGTGATAGGATGCATGATAAATATATGAACATGTAAGAATTTGTCCTTATATAAATACTACTTGTTGCTCCCAAGAACACCACATTCTTGATGCAAATGATAAATCATAAAATGATATTCTGAACAATGATTAACTAAACAAAGTAATACATTCATTGCTTCTGTGGTTTCTTTATAACAGTATGTAAATGCCATCGGGGAAACAAGGGTAAAAGATTTATTACATCCAAAATGTTTCAACAGTAAAGAGCCCTAAATATTGTATTTAGAAATCACTATGACTGACTTAGATTCATGTCACCATAGCTAAAATTCCCATAAAGAAAATAAGTCTGGATTTTTATTTTAAACTTTTTAATAAAGAGAGTCTTCTCCACATGTCTATGTTCCTCATATATACATTCTGGATTTTAATAGGGTTCAGAAATGCAAAGCATATTGATAAAAATCTTAATTATAGGTTTGTGAAGGCATAATCATAAACTCACATAGGGACTTTATATCAATTATGGAAAGATCTGTGGCAGGAAATGTTGAATTTAAGGCTCTCTGACCTTCTCTGACCCATGCTCCTGAGGGCAGAAGATTTTTCATATGTGTTTTTCCCTCTTCCTGCCATAAACACTTCATAAAAATGTGTTATCTTATTGGAACTCCCTGAGGGGAACAGTTATGTCAAAGGATAAAATAGTCACCTTGTTAAGACACAAAGCTGAAACTTGGTAGAGTTGTGCATCTTGGAATATCACCGGAAAAGGCAAAAACCCTGAAAAAGATGGTACCATAAGATGCCCCCTTTCAAAATGTAGCTCAAGAGGTTTTGGAGGTAGCTGGAAGGCACTATAATACTTCAGGGCACAACACTTGTGCACAGACTCCTCCGTCTGAATCAGTTCTTGAGTGCGTGGACGGCTCTGCGGCACAGGGGACGTATCATCAGCCTGCAGAACCTCTGAAGACTCCGTCCCCAGAACTTCCCCCCTTCCTGTGCGGTGGGCATGACCAAAGAGGCCACAACTTCAGCAGAGACACATCAACCCACCCCAAACAAGGGTGAATAACAGCTTCTGTTTAATATCCAATTCCACAGAAAATCACCAATCACATTTTGGAGGAAATGTATTTTTAAATATTTGCGCACACACCACACATCCAAGAAAGAGAAAAAAGAAACACCGCATCTGTCTTCAAACCAGAACCTTTCTTCAGAAGTTCGCTTACAAAGGCCTTTTATCTATTTCCCATTTGACTTAAATGAAGCTTGACTAAAACAAACTTACAACGATACCAACACAGAGACTTACTCCGTCTTTTTCCAACATCTCCCTTGGATGTTGCCGCTTCATTTAGAAGAACCATCCCCATGGTGATAGCCGCATCTATAGTAGTTGTCAAGGAAACATTAGAAATAGATGCAAGTAAAATCTATTAATTGTTCTGGACCTGAACACCATGTGTTTTGTACCAGAATGACTGAATTACACATGCACACAGAGGTGAATGCAACTTAACTCTCCTGATATAAAATTACGGCTTTTCATGTATTTAAACAAATATGCCTTGATTTTTAGACTATACAACCTCAAACTTTCCTTTGTGAGATTTTTAAGGTCTAATTCTAAATGCTCTTAAATTCCAGGACTTTCATAGTGCATATGAATTATATACTCTCAAAACCAATAATGATATTTCACCTTATACATAAAGATATGCATACACTAGTTACACTTAGAATGACATTTCATTGGGCAATCACAGAAAACTGGAATATACTCAGCATGGAACCAACCAACCAGCCTTGGTGGATGCCTAATACGTACAAGAGAGAAAGTTACCAAATACCATCCCCTTGCCTGACAAAAATGGTTCTGTTGTTGTTTAGTTTCAAAGTCATATGTGCCTCTTTGCAACGCCAGGACTGTAGTCCACCAGGCAAGAGTACTGGAGTGGGTTGCCATTTCCTTTTCCAGGGCATCTTCCCGACCCAGGCCTCTCCTGCATTGGCAGGTAGGTTCTTTACCACTGGGCCACCAGGGGGGCCCATCGGACACATATATACATACCACTAAGCTTTTAGGAAATTCATGGTACCAGTTTGAAAACTTCTGAAATTCAGATAATTATAAGTTCTTTGTGTTTCAATTGTGTAGTGATGGGGATGTTACCAATAATAAATTGATAGAAAAATTAAAAGCTTGTTTCACTGAAACTGCTGAGACACAGGAAATTTACTGCTTAACTTACTTCTTTGGAGCAGACTGATGGGACTGATGCAGATCTTTAAAAAGGAATTCAATTAGGATTCTGCTTCCATTTTTTTCTGGCAACATCCTTTTATATTCATGTATAATTCTAAACTATCCATTTAAGTGTACAGACTTGAGCTACTGACAACTCACACAGACTTCTGGATTAATTTATCTCAAAAACATTTTCTATAAATATTCAAAATATAAATCACATTTAAAAATTATTTTATATAGATACTACAAACAAAACAAATATTTATTTTATGATGCCATCAACTGAGTAGCTTCCAAAATTCCTTCCAAAATATAACGTCGGGGGAAATAGCACTATTTTTTATTTCTGGGGAAAATAAAGTTTAGAAATTAAATGCTTTAAAATTTTAGCTACATGAACGCTGTATATTAAAACATTCTCAGGATAAAACTGGATTCGTAAATACCCATGTGTACATTGTATATAAGTGTTATTAGCACACAGACATAAATATTCACTTAGGGAGAAGTTATTAAGCAAATTACATTTTATTGGATATTAACTACGGTCACTCAAGTATAACATACCCGTTAATATCTTTGTAACACACACACATATATAAATGTATATATATATTTTTTACTACTGTTCCTCTGTATGGCTTCCCTGATAGTGCAGTTGGTAAAGAATCCGCCTGTAATGCAGGAGACCCCAGTTCGATTCCTGCATCAGGAAGATCTGCTGGAGAAGGGATAAGGCTACCCACTCCAGTCTTCTTGGGCTTCCCTTGTGGCTCGGCTGGTAAAGAATCCACTTGCAATGTGGGAGACTTGGGTTCGATCCCTGGGCTGGAAAGATCCCCTGGAGAAGGGAAAGGTTACCCACTCCAGTATTTTGGCCTAGAGAATTCCACGGACTGTATAGTCCATGGGTTCGCAAAGAGTCGGACATGACTAAGCGACTTTCACTTTGTCAAAAATTTCTTTGTCACTTTGTCCCTCTGTAGATTTGAAAACTACGTGACCAACGTGTTTCTCATTTGATTGCTTTTGAACTTCACACAAATACAAACTGTTATTACAAAGCTGTAAGATTTTCATCAGAGTATACCGATTGTTATTGCTTATCTTACTCATAGGCATTTCTTTCCAAGTGTTTGCTGTTACAAATACTCCTACAAAGAATATCTTCTTATATACACATGTGAAATATTTTTTCTAGGGTCTACACCTAGAGGTATAGTTTTTGAGAGGCTGATATGTGTAGTTTCAAATTTACTAGATATGATCATATTCTGTAAAACAAGTAGTTAAGAGTTACCATTTTTTTACACTGCACTAACACAGTTTTGCTGAACTATTGATTTTATCAAATTGTTGAGTAGGGATCTGTCTCACTAGTGAGTCAGAGTTTCTCTTTTGATATGTTAGTTCCTCTTTTTGCTTAATTTTTTGTATTGTGCTTTTTTGGGTTTTTTTGCCCATTTTCCCATAAGTATATTTGCCTTTTCTTATTAACTTAGAAGATGCTTCAGTTTTTTCTGGATATGAACGTTTTGAAGTGTTACATACAGATTCTTCTACTTGTCTTTTAAATTGTTTACTTATGCAGAAGGTTGTCATTTAAGTATGGTCAAAATTGATATTCTTTTCCTTTATGAGCTTTGGTTAGTGTTTCTTACTTATGAAATTAACTCCTACCCCTAAGTCTTAGAAATACTCTGTTAGTTTTAGGTATACAATATTAAGTGTGTGAACATTTAAATATGTTAGGAACTAATAAGCACCAGAAGTCTAGTAACCATATGCCCCATACAAAGTTATTAAATATTATCAACCATACTCCTTATGTTGTATATTACATCCCCATGACTACTTTAAAACTGTAAGTTTGAACCTCCTCATCTGTTTTGCTCAAGCCCTCACCCAGCTGCCCTTTGCAACCACCCCATTTTCTGTATCTATGAATCTGTTTCTGGTTTGTTGTTTGTTCATTTGTTTTTTAGATTCCACATACAAGTGAGATCATAAAGTACCTGTCTTTCTCTAACTTATTTCACTTACCATGATACCTTTTAGATTCATTCATGTTGTTGCAAATGTCAGGAGTTTTCTTTTAATGGTTGAGTGTTTATGTGTGTCTGTACATCGTGTCTTCTTCACCCGTTCATCCACTGATGGACATTTTGGTTGTGTCCATATCTTGGCTACTGTAAATAATGCTGCACTGAACAGAGAGGTGTATATATCCTTCTGAATTAGTTTTCATTTTCTTCTAGTAAATATTCAGAAAATTACTGAATCATATGCTGGTTCTATTTTTTTATTTATTTATTTTTAGAAACTTTCATACTGTTTTCCATAGTGGCTGTACCAAATTAGATTCCTCCAATCCTCATCAAGGTTTATTTGTTGTCATCTTGATGACAGCCATTCTGACAGGTGTAAGGTGGTATCTTTCTTGGATTTTATTTGCAGTTCCTTGATGATCAGTGATTTAGACCATCTTTCCATGTGACTGTTGGAATTATGTCTTCCTTAGAAAAGAGTTTAGTCTGCTCAAGTCCTCTATCTATTTCTAAAATGTTTTGTTTCTTGATATTGAGTTGTATGAGTTATGCATTTGGATATTACCTGCTTATTGGATATATAACCTGCAAATATCTTCTCCCACTCAGTAAGCTACCTTTTCATTTTGTTGATGACTTTTTTTCCAATGTATAAAAAGCTTCTTAGTTTGATGTAGTCTCACTTGTTTATATTTGCTTTTGTTTGCCTTGCCTAAGGAGACAGAGCCAAAAAATTATTGCCAAGACCCATGTCGAAGAACATCCTGCTTGTGTCTTCTTTGAGGAATTTTATGATTTCGGGTCTTAACTTTAAGTCTTTAACTCATTTTGAGTTTATTTTGTATATGGTGTGAGGAAGTGGTCCAGTTTCATTCTTCCGCACGTAGCTGTCTAGTTTTCCGAATACCATTTATTGAAGGGGCTGTATTTTTCCCACTGCATACTCTTTCTTTTTTGTAGCTTCATCGACCATAAGTGCATGGGTTTATATCTGGGCTCTTCAGTATGTTCTGTTGATCTGTGTGTCCATTTTTGTGCTGACTCTATACTGTCTTTATTACCATAGTGTTTTTTTTTCTTAAACCACCCTTAGCATCTATTTACCTTGGGCTACGCTGGGTCTTCGTCGCCGTGTGGGCCTTTCTCTGGTTGTGGAGAGCGGGGGCTACTCCAGCTGCGGCGCGTGGGCTGCCCCTGCTGCGGAGCGTGGAGCGTGTGCTCTGGCCGTGCAGGCTTCAGCGGCTACGGCACGCAGGCTCACGGTCTGCGGCTCACAGTCTGCAGACTGCAGGCTCAGTCGCCGTGTGGCATGTGGGATCTTCCCAGACCAGCGGCTGAGCTGGTGTACCCCCTGCACTGAAAGGGACGTTCTTAACCACTGGGCCACCAAGGAAGCCACAGAGCTTTTTAATATAGTGTGAAATCAGGGTGTATGATACCTACAGCTTTGTTCTTTCTCGTGACTGCTTTGGCTAAATAGGGTCTTTTGCAGTTCCATGCAAATTTTAATTATTCTAGTTTTGTGAAAAATGGCACTAGTAGTTTGAAAAGAATGGCACTCAATCTGTAGATTGCTTTGGGCAGAATGGACTTTCTAATGTCTTTAACATAAGGCAGGTAATGCCATTCTTTTCCTCAGAGAACTCTTTACTCAGAGTGAGATGGAAAGTTAATAATCTAAAGACCTCAAAATGACCTCCAGGTGTACCTCATTTGTACCCTGACCCAGATTCCTATACTGCTCTGCCCTTGTTGGCTCTTAAGTCATGTCCTTGGTATTTTTTCAACAAGAACCCTCTGCCCCAGGATCTTTGCACTTGCTATTTCTGTCTGAATGCTATTCCCCTCAATGTCCATGTAACTCACTCCCTCACTTCCCTTGGGTTTCTGATCAAATGACAGTAGAGAAGCCTCCTTTGAACACTGTACCTCTTATCCTGCTTTATTTTTCTCTATTATTTTTTAAAAGAAAATTAAAACTTGTATCTTTTTTTATTTATTTACTGTCTCTCTCGTCACTACAATGTTAGTGCCCAAAGAGCCTACCTTTTATTAAACTTACTACCTACTTTATTTTGTTCACTATCT